ATCTGTAGAGCAGGGGAATTTACTACCTGCCTAGCAAAGCTGTGGTGAAAGGCAAATTAGATAACCTGTAGGTGCTCAGCTAATGATAACAATAATTATTGTGTAGAAGAGGACAAAGATGAGAGGGTTACGAGTTGCACAAACTGCTTCCCCCAACACACACACACACACACACACACACACACACACACACACACACACCCCTTTCTTGCAACTGCAGCCAAAGGGATATTGTTAAAATGTGCGTCAGATAATGTCACTCTTCTGTTCAAATTCCCTGAACGATCTCTCACTCCCAGTCAAAGCCAAAGCCTTCACAAAGGCCACGGGCCCTTGGTAGTCCACCCGCCGTTACTTTCTCTCTCTGACCTTTCCTTTGCTGTCCAGGCTGCTTGCTGCTCCGTGACGTCCAGGCACACTCCACTCCAGGGTCTCAGCACCGTCGCCCTGTCTCTTAGAATGCATTTCCACCAGACATCTGTCTGCATGGCTTGCTTCTTCTCCTCCTTCCCATCTTTGCTCAAATGCCATCCTGTCAATGAGGCCCCCTGGCAACTCCGTGTCAAACAGGGTGGGTCCTCAGTCCTCCTTTCTCTCTATTCCTTGCTTTATTTCCTCCACAGCCTGACCATCGCCTGGCACACTGTGAAATGCTTTTTGTTGATTTTCTCCCCTTACAGGATACAAGTCTCACAAAGGCAGAATTTTTTGATCTAATAATATGTTCCCATTCCTAGCAATCCTGAGTGCCTGGGCATACAAGTAGGGGCTTCATGTTTGCTGAATGAAGGCGAGGACTCAAGTTCTGAGGAGTGCAGGTAAGGGGAGTGGACCATGGCATGAAAGCCATAGTCACTTTCCTTTTTTGCCAAATGAGGGAGTTGGACTAGACCCCTGGTGACCACGAACCCATGGGAAGTGTGCACATCATTGGGTGAGTCCCTGCCTCCATGTCTTTTTCTGGGACAGGGGTTCCTAGCTTCCTGCAGACATTTAACAGAGCCTGTGATCTCCAAATGGAGCTAAGCACCCTCCCTGCTCTGACATTTCATGACTGACTCTAATAGGCTCAAATCTTTGATTCTAGAGACCTCTGATGCTAACATTCCATGATCTTATTCAAGTCTCAGCAGCCCCAGAGGTCCCGGCCCCAAAGAGGGGAGTGGGAACCAGAGGGTCCCAGGGTCAGCATTGTGTGGTGAGGACTGGGGAGGCCTGTGGGGACACGGGAGTGGAGACAAAGGATACTTCTATATTACATGTGTTGTTTTCTTCCATTTATGTAAAAGAAAATGGATTTAAAGCAAGTATGACAAAATATCTACAATTGTCAATGCTGGATACTGGGCACGGGGTGTTTATCACAGAGAGCTTTGTACTTTTCTGTATGTCAAAAATTTCTTTAGAAATATAGATTTGGAGGTGGGCAGGACAGTTACAGCTTATGATTAGGAATGGAGAGACTGAGGGACCAGGCAGAGGGGATGGCTGGCGTCTGGACTCATCCCAGGAGCTGTCAAACACACTGTTCTCCCTTGCCCCTCCTTCCCAGGTCTCAGTTTCCTGCCTTCCTGGGGGGTGGGGACAGGCTGAGAGGCCTCGTGCTGAGGGTGAAGCTAATTCATTAGTGATGCCTCAACAAGGACTGGGAGCCCGCGGTGCCAGCGTGATTCATCAACATGATTGCCCGCTGCCAGCCTGCGTGGGCCTGGAATGCTAGCACATTTTACCTGTACTCACTGAGAAGGACCTGGTGGGAGGCAAAGGTACAGAATCTACCCAGAGCAAGAAAAAGACTCAGAGAAAGAAGAGGGCTGGTCCCCTGTGCCCTTGAACCCAGAAAGCTCTGTCAGGCTGGTGCTGGAGTTGCAGGGCATATGTCACTCTTGCCCATTCAGGCAGAGCCCAGGAGGGCTGCCTGGCGCTGGAGTGCCAGCTCTAAGCATGTGGTGAGGGGGTGCTGGCTGGGCTTCCTCCTCCACAGCGAATGTTCCCTTGGGGGAACTGCTTGAGGGGCAGCAGGGGGTGGGGTGGGGGAGTTTATCCTTATCCTGTCAGCCTGGCAGGGTTTTCCTCAGCTTTCTGTCTGTGAGGTAGTGCTTCCAAGAAGTTCTCCCAAATGAGTAGAAGGGAGAGTGTTGAATTGGGGTTTAGGAGAGGTCTGAAAGGAGCTTAAAGCGCCTCTGGCTGGGGCTCAGAATCCTCCTACACCCCAGGTCTAGCAATCACTCTTTGCCTGGGTCCTCTACCTCATTCTGAAGTCCCATTTGCATCTTGTCAGTCTCCATCCATCCCAGGACAGGGGTCCGTGGCTAGTTCCTGGCTCAGGGCAATACCTGCCTCTGTGTCCCCTGTCACCTGTTCACTCCATGACACCCTTTGCCCAATTACAACAGCTATTGCTCTGCTCTTTTGATCCTTTATCATCTATCCCGGGGGTGCCAAAAAATGTATACACATTTTAAGCGATGTTAACCCTTTGGTCAACGTTGCTCAAGCAATAGTTCGCCATAATCAGAAGCATCCAGATGCTGATGGTAGCCACTTTGAGCACCTCTTGTAATTGCTGAAGTCAAATGTGACTTATATTCATCTTTTGTTATCGGTCTATATTAAATATTACAATTTTAGTACAGTTTTTTCCTTTCTTAAAATTTGTATACTTTTTTTGGCCATATATATATACATATATATACATATATATGGAGTATCTGAGCAGAAATCAGGAGCAAAAAAAAAAAAGTACAGTGAATGATTTCATTTATATGAAATTCAAGAACAAGTAAAACTGATCCATGATGATAGAGGTCAGGATCACAGGTGCCTCTGGGAGGTGGGATTGACTGAAAGAGGCACGAGGGAACTCAGTGATGGAAATACGTATTACATTGGTGTTCGCATTTGTCAAGTCATAATACTGTACACTTACAATCTATGCATTTCACTGTGTGTAAAGTTTGCCTCCATTTTTAATTTTTTTTAATTAATTTTTTTAGCTGAGCCATCCTGCTACCTGTTGGCAGCTCAGCGGCTGCTCAGCTCGGGCCGGGACTTGAACCGCTGTTGCTCAGAGCTCAAACTCTTGAGCGAGCTCCTAACCAACTGAGCCACTCGGCCAGCCCTGCCTCCATTTTTTAAAGTGTTAAAATTTTTCATTAAATACCTGCAATGTGCCAGACCCAGTGCCAGCAGGGAAGACATAGTTGCCTGCCCTGTGGAGCTTATATTACAAGGGATGTGGTTCTTATCTTGACATTGCATTGGCCACTGCTCTCAGTTCTTTTATTTTTTTTTAGATTTTTTATTGGGGAATTGGGGGAGGGGAGCAGCATTGATGAATTTGGGAAGGGGAACAGACAAGCTGCTGTCCTTTTGTTCTTCAGTCTAGTTGTGGAAGACGCGGCTTCACTGGCCCACGTTGGTGTTATCATTGTGCTCTTCCCAGCTGAGGCAGTCGGTCCCCGGCCATTGGACAGCCACTCATGGTAGCTCACGGCAGCCCACTGCAGTCCCACTGCAGCCTACGCTGTTGCCAGCAACTCAAGGCAGCCCAGCTCCAGGTGGAGCTGTTGTTCACCATCTTAGCTGTAGAGGGCGCAGCGTCACTGGCCCATGTGGGATCGGAACTGGCGGCCCTGCTGCTCAGAGCTCCGGTTCCCAAGCTAACTCTTAACCAACGAGCCACTCAGCCGGCCCCACTGCTCTCAGTTCTTGAGCTAGTCTCCCTCTCCACCTGCAGTGGGGATGGGAGTGGGGATGGGTCAGAGGGCAGGGTGCTGCCCAGAGGTGTGTTCCCTTCAGCCAGTTGCATGGTCACATGCAGGACAGAGGAGGCATGGAGCCTGCAGACTCCGCTCCCTGGCTATAACCTCTACTCACTGTGAAACCTTAAGCAAGTGCCTTATTCCTCTGGGGCCACTGTCTTCATCTTTCATATGGGACTAATAATGCCTTCCTTGTAGTTTTGGCATGAGAATTAGAGGTCCTGTCATTATTTCCACTTAATGGCGTGGTATATGGTTAAGAGCACAGGCTGGAAAGTCACACTGCCTGGGTTCAAATCCTGGCCACTCATCAGTCAGCAGGGTAAACTTGGGCAAGTCACCCAGCTCAAGTCAAACCTTTCAGAGCCCCCATTTCTCCATCTTTAAAACTGGGGTAACGAAGGTATCTACCCTATAGGCACGTCGCAAGAATTCAATGCAATGCTCTCAGTAGTGCTGGGCATACGTCAGGCTGGCAATAAATGGGAGCCAGTGTTTCTGCCAGGAGCTTTGGCAGGAGGGCTCTGAATGGGAGGGGAGAAGGCAGGGGCACAGGGCTGGGCTGTTGGTGGGAGCATGCGCAACAGAAAGAGCCATAGAATGAGAGTGGTCATCACTGGTGGTGCTCAAAGGCGCTCACGTGTCCCCATCCTCTGCCCAACTCAGGCACACAGACTTTGAGCATAGCAGGAGGGCGGTAGCAGGAGATAAGGGTGTGAGTACACTAACAAGGAACCTGTTGGGCAGTGAGGGTGTCCTGGGCATGGAGGGGGGCAGAACCAAGCCCTGAGTCGCCGAAAATCCTCCGATGTGACCCACCCTGAAATGGGCCAGAAAGTAACACTGTTCCGAGTTACAATCCTGAAGTGACTCTAACGGGGAGACTGGTCGCATGCCGCTGGACATAAGTGGCCGGCAGTGACCGCAACCCTCAGTCCCTCCTCGAGACCCACGTGTCCAGAGTCCTGGGTCGCGCGCCGGCGTTGTCTCGGTCCCTTCTAGGACTTGCCACTCTAGGCGCATGCGACAGCACACCAAACGGCTCGTTGTGACTGGAAGTGTGGACAGACGTAAGGTCTGTGTTGGCACAGAGCCTGGCTTGCGAAGAGCGGACCTTGGGTTCTTTTGGTTCGCACTGGCTCCAGGGCGGGTCCGTTGGGACCGCGGGGGGCGGGCCTGACAGTCCGGACCCCGCACCGGTAGCACCTTGGCCCCGCCCCGCCCCTCCCTCCCTCCGCCTCATTGGCAGTCGCACGCGCGTCGGGGGTTGCTAGGGCGACGGGTCGCTTAGCGCTCGTCGGCGCAAAACCGAGCCAGTCGGCCACTGGCGGAGGGAGCTGGGGGAGGCCCGAGGAAGTGCAGCTGAGAGCGGCGCGCGGCGGCCGGGCTCCAAGCGGGAGCCTCCTCCCGGATCCGCACGGCCCCCCTCCCGGCGCAGGGGCAGGCCGGGGCGGGGGGCCCCGGAGCCGGCGCGGCCTCGGCCCCGTCGGGGGGAGACCAGGGGGCCGCCAGGTCGGAGCAATGTCGGGCGGCGGCGGCGGCCCCGGTTGGGGCCCGTGACCATGGGCATCGCCGAGTCCACTCTGGACGAGCTGCCGTCGGACGCGGAGGAGCAGCTGCGTCACGGTGAGCAGCAGCTGGAGCTGAGCGGGAAGCGGTTACGGCGGCTGCCCAGCGCGGTTTGTGCGCTCAGCCGCCTGGAGAAGCTGTACGTGAGCGGCACGGGGCTGCGTGAGCTGCCGGAGGAGATCGAGGAGCTACGCGAGCTACGCATCCTGGCACTCGACTTCAACAAACTCGAGCGCTTGCCCGACGGCCTGTGTCGCCTGCCGCGCCTCACTCGCCTCTACCTGGGCGGCAACCGGCTGCTGGCGCTGCCCAACGACTTCGCGCAGCTGCAGAGCCTGCGCTGCCTCTGGATCGAGGGCAACTTCCTGCGGCGCTTCCCGCGGCCGCTGCTGCGCCTGGTGGCGCTGCAGTCGCTACAGATGGGCGACAACCGGCTGCGCGCGCTGCCCGCCGAGCTGCCGCGCATGACGGGCCTGCGTGGCCTCTGGCTCTACGGCAACCGCTTCGAGGAGTTCCCGCCCGCGCTGCTGCGCATGGGCCGCCTGCACATCCTCGACCTGGACCGCAACCGCCTGGGCGGCTTCCCGGATCTGCAGCCGCTGCGCTCCCTGCGCGTCTTCTCCTACGACCACAACCCGGTTACTGGGCCCCCGCGCGTCGCCGACACTGTCTTCCTCGTGGGCGAGGGCGCCGTCGAGCGCATGGCGGAGCGCGACGAGCCCATCCCCCGGCCTCCACCTCGGCGCCCGGTCCGGGCCTTTGAGAACGAGGAGGAAGAAGACCTGCTCATAGGGGGCGGTGGCTCCAGGGCTCTGGGCCCCCCTGAGGGCAGCCTCCGCGCCCTGGATGCCGCTCCAGGGCTGGGCACCTGAGCCTGTGCTCTGGGGTGATGGGTTCCGGCCACTCTGGGAGGAGGGGCTCTGGGAAGGTCTGTGGGAGCGCTGGGCAGAGGAGGGACGGCTTCGGGTGTCCTGGAGGCCGTCTTTAGGTATTCCTGGGTAGTAAGAAGACTGCCTCCTGGATGGTTTCTGGGCATTCATCAGACCAAGAAGTCTTGGCTCTATCCAGTCCCCTGTATCTCTGTCCTGTTCCTGATAGCATCACTGACAGCACGATAGTGGTGCCGGCTTCCCCCTGAACCAGGGTCACCGCTGTCTGTGCAGTCATCACCTTGGCCGGGCCTGGATGCCTAAGATGCCCACCAACCTCCCTCCTGGAGTTTGGATCTCCTAGACCCTCCTTTTCTGGTGCAGGAGCTGCTACCTCTGGGTGGACCGCATGCCTCTGTGAGTCAGGACTGCTCTTGGAGGAGGGCCTGGCCCAGCAGTCGGGGCTTGGAGGGGCCGGTGCTCAGGACAGAAGTGAGAAACTGGGATTGGGGCCCTAACACCGCAGCTGCCCTTGCCCTTCCGGGGCTCATTGTATATACCTCCCTCCCCCGGGCACCCTAAAGTTTGTGTGGGGAAAGGGGGCTTAGGAGGCAGGGTCTCCGCCTCTGTCTTTTATTCAGTCTCTTCCAGCTTGTGCCTGGAATCTTGCTGGGAAAGGCTCTGCTTCCCTTCCCCACAACCTGAACCTTCCAACTGTCAATTTTGAAAAGAAGCCACTGTGCCTCTAGGCCTCCTGCACTGAAGAGAGAGGCTCTCTGCTCTGGGAGGCTGCCCCAGTGCCTCTCCCACTGCCTGCACTCTCCATTCCCTTAAATGGGCACAGTCAGGGTGGCTGGCACGGCATGGGGCATGGGACGAGCACTGTGCCTCCACTCTGTCACCAGGGACAGCCTCAAGGGGGTGAGGAGTGGAGTCTTGCTCTGCAATTCCCAGGGCCAGATCTTTCCCATCCAAGCAATAATGGGAGGAGGGGGCCAGGGCCGGGGACACTCAGGGACACTGTCGGGCAGTTGCTCCACATGATAGTGTTTTCTTTAGGAAGAAAAAAAAAACCTAGCTGTAAACATAAATTACATTTCTTGGAGAAAGAATGTGCATTTCCCACATGCCTGTTTATTTATAAGCCCTGGGAGCACTGGGTCCCATTGCTGTGGGGACCCTGGGCTCCCTCTGGCACTGGCCTCTGTCTGTGTGCCCCAGCTCTGCATTAAACTGGCCCAGCCAACTGTTATGTTCTGTCTGGGGACGAAGCACTTGTCCTCAGTCACAAATGGCTTTGGCTGTTCAACGCTGGTCTCGGGTCTTGTTGTATCTTACTCTCTGCCTCCCAGTCTCCCACTGCACCCCACTTCCTTGGTCTTTTCCAGCTTAATTTTCAGGTCCCTGACTCAATATATTTTTGAATCTCCCTCAAGCTGGGCTGAACTTTCTCTATTCCTTCACTGGTACTGACCCCCCCCTCCTTCCCCTCTGTAACTGTATTCTTTCCTCCCTCTGTTTTCTTCTGTCTCTCCTTCTTCATCTCTTTTTATTCAGTTATAGGATTGCTTTCTCCCCTCATTGTTCAGGAAAATAAAATCAAATATTTCAAGAAAGTAAGAAAATTGTAAAGCCTCCAGCCTAGAGGCCCATCTCCCCTGAGACGATGCTGCCAGGTCACCATTACCATGGCAACAGGGCTGATGTCATACAAGGCCCAAAGGTCATGCCTGGCCCATCAGCTCTGCTTGCCATTGGGCTGAGCCTGGGTTAGGAGAAGGCTGGGGATGGTCTGGAGGAGTTAGCTTGCAAATGAGAGAGAAGGCCTTCAAATGGACAGAAAGAGCTGGTGGGTGGGGAATATTGGAGGCAGCTTCTTTCTTTAGGGGGAACAGGGGTCTGGGGTTGCTGCAGACTTTGTCCCTCTCAGGGCTCCTCAGGTGCCCATACTTCCCCTGTCATAGCTCCATCAGGGCCAGTGGGCCTTCCTGTGTTCTGGGAACTTGGAGGAAGGAACTGAGATCTCAGATCACTCGGGATAGGAGTGGCAGCAGGCCAGAGACTGTCCTCTGACTCCATGACTCATGCCATGGCATAGGGAAATACCTCTGGTCCTGGAATGAGAAGGCATGGGTTCCAGTCCTAGTTCTGTTTTTGACTGACTGACCTTAAGTCATGGCCCCCTGGGCCTCAGTTTCTCCATTTGCACACATGGAGTTGGATTTATTTAGCTCTGATGTTGCAACTCAGAATTCTGTGCACCTCACATGTGTCCACCTTCCCTGCATGCAAATCTCAGATGGGCGGCGGGGGGGATTAGCTGCAGGGGGAGCCATGGTCACCCTGGAATAACTGCTGGCACTGCCAGCCCAGGTGTCCTTCCTGTCTCTGGTCTGTTTCCCTAAACCTCTTCCCTACTGCATTTGCCCAAGGACTCTAGGTCAGGGCAAAGGCCCCGTGATGAGTCCCCCGGACCATCCTGATGCCTGGGTCCTGGCTTTGCTGCTTGCTTGCTCTCCACCATCAGGAGCCAGTTCTTTCTGGAAGTTAGTTTGCTTAAAGTGGTGCTAATGCCTGGCTTGAGAGCACTATTGAGGGGCTCTGTCTCCATGCAGCTATGCGGGACACCAGGGTAGGAAGAGGACTGTTGCCAGGTACAGCTGGGCATCACAGCTCCCCTAGGTGGTAAAGAGATCACTGTATTACGAGGCCTAGCCCACCCCCCACCTAACTGCCTGTGACTTCTCACTTGGTCTTGGGGAGCGGGAAAGAGAGGAGATAATTTTGGAGGGGACTTTGTAGCAATGCCACACACAGCTGTTCCTTGAGCTGTGTGGGGGCAGTCAGTGGGGTGTGGGCCATGGGGGAGTTGGGCAGGAGAGCCCTGGAAGAGTTGTATTTGTGCCAGTCAGAAGATAGGAGCTGGAAGGCCGGCAGTGGGTCCTGGGAGGACCGGGGCAGAGGCTGCAGCAGTGTAAGAAACAGGCCCAGGGAGGGAGAGACTTGCCTATAGTACGAGGCCGCCTAACCCAGTGCTCGACCCACGCTGAGGGAGGTCACCTCTGCCCTTGGCTGGCGGTGGTCTGGGTGTGGTGGTTGTAAGCTGCTCTCCCTCCTGGAGCCTGGCCAGCAGAGCAGCAGAGATGGGAGGTGGGGATTGGGTCCTTTCCTAGCTTTATTACCGCAATCTCCCTCTTCCTGCCCGCCCTCAGGGGCTTGGGAAAGGAACAGGGTGCTGATGAGCCAGAGCCCCTGCCCAGAAGCGCCTCCCTGCCCCCAAAGCCCCTGCATGGGCTTGCTCAGCCATCTGTCCCAAAGCTTCCTTCAGACGCCTGGGTACTCTTGTTCTGAGCATGGACGTTTATTAGCACAGCCAGGTGTGCCACACAGAACATGTATTCAGACAGGGATCCCTGCCCAGGGGGGCTCACAATCTAAACGAGACACAACACATACACACAGGACACAAACACAGGGTGGGTGGCATCTTCGAGGGACACAGATGGTCAGGGGAGCCACGGGCTGGGGCATACAGTGTGTTCAAGCATCGTCCTTCTGGGTGTCTTTGTGGGGGAGGGAGAGGAGAGCAGGACATAGCCCAGGATGGCCTTCGAGGAAGCAGTGGGGTCCAGGAGGGACTTGCAGGAGGAAGAGAACCCCAGAGGGCAGTGGTCTCAGGCACAGGGAGGGCGGGCAAGTTTCTCAGTGTAGTCTTGGATGAAGAGAGACCCAACGAAGTGAAGGCAGAAGAACGAGGCAAAAAGTCCAGGAGGAGACCCTGAGCCCATGGCAAGAGGCTGTCACCTCTGCCAAGCCGAGCTGTCCCTGCTTTCAGGCCGAGTTTTCCAGAGCCATTTTCCCAGAGAAAGCCTGAAGAGGGGTTCTGGCAAGGGGGGTTACTCTTGAGGCTACTTACCTGACCCTAGGACTCTCTCCAATCTCTGGGAACAGAGATCAGAAGACAAAAGAACCACCTTTTAACAGGAACTTTAAATGAGGTTGTCAGAAATCGATGGGGCAGGAAGGGGGAGGATGGGCCGCTTCAGGTGGGGGTACTTAGTGCAGCTCGAGGAGGCAGCTGCCGGCCAGGTGCTGGGGAGGAGGAGGCGCGATGGCCCCCCTCACTCTGGAGTGGGGCAGGAGCCAGCAGGTGACACGTGACAACGGAGGGGCACTCGTTGCCTTTGTGCCTATGACGGAGGTAGCACCTTCCTTCTGAAGTACCCTGAGAGCTGCCAGGCCTCAGCTTCCCCTGGCGGTGTATGGGGGTGCATGGGGGAGGGGCTGGGACGGTTATTGCTCCTTTGCGTCTGAGGGAACTGAGGCCTGAAGAAGGACATAGCTTACCCCAGGCCACAGTGGCTGGAGAAGGAAGACACGGGGGCTCAGTTCTCTCGGGCTGGGGCTGGCCATGGGCCTTTTGGATTTGGAGAGTTTTCTAATCCTAAAGGATTAAGCCCAAAAAGGATAGAGAAGCCACAGGCCCAACCAACAGAGCTAGAGCTCTGCTGGGACCAGGAAGGAGGGGGAGACGCTGACCTGAAACCATGGTGGTCCAGCCCTAGTTCAGGTGGTGGTGGATGGCGGAGGGTCCCCCTTTGTTTTGTCTGGCTTGCCTTGGAGGGTGGGAAGGGTACCCCTGGGCACTGAGGGAGGGGATGTTGGTGTGAGTGAACTACAGGGGTACCCCTCAGACCTCAAGGAGACTCCATTCCCAACAAACCTTGCTTCAGGCCTGACGCGGGAGGTGTGGCTGCCCCCTTGCTTTCTGGGCAGCTGGTGGGTGTATATTCTAGATCTGAGGACAGGCTGGAAGGGCCTCATCACCAGTGAAGACAAGTCTCCAGGGTGACGAGTTGAAGGGAGATTCCACCCCAGGCTCCCCTCACCCAACTGCTTCTTCCCCTGGGAGGTAAAGGAGGGCTGGGACCCACGGAGGAAACAGCCAAGGCCCTACTTTTCCACGATCCTTTATTAATCAGAATGGGCCTCGCCACAAAAAGCAGGGCCCATTCCCACAAAAATATGATTTTGCAAAGAGGAAATCTTGCTGGCTTAGAGGGTGCGTGTGGTGGAAAATTTTTGTATGGTTCTTTTTTCCTTTTTTTTTTTTTTCTTCAGTTTTTCTTCATTTCTCTTTGCTGCAAATTTTTTTTGTGACAGTGGGTTTTTGTTTTTTGTTTTTTTTATAAAACACTTGCGCTCAAGGACTCAAACACAATACAAACAATGGCCACCAACCCCCACCCCTGGGGCCCCAGCCAGGCTGGGGGCTTTGGGGCCCCCGCTTGGCTTTTTTGTGGCTGTTTTCCTGGCGTTTGGCGCCGGTGGGCAGATGCGGGCTCCGGGGGCAGGTGGAATTTGTACAGCAGTTCCGTGGGGACATGGTCACAAGAAAGGATACCTGAACAAGATAACAACTAAGTCTAGGGCGCCCACAAAAACGGCAGATGACGCTCATGAAGGGACCTGGGACACAGTGGAGAAGAGACAGATAGGCCCAGGCCGGCCTTGGCTATCCCTGGAGGCTCTGTGGGGGGAGGGGCAGGTGGGCCTTGCTTTCAGGCTACAGTAATAATACTTTGCTCGCGGGTAGCACCTTCAGTTCTCCTGCCTTGACCCCTAGGTCAGGTGACGGCGGCCTCACAACCTCCCCTATGAGGTAGGTGAAGTATTATTACCATCATTTTACTGATGGGGAAACTGAGGCCCCGGAAGTGTGGGTGATTTGCCCAAGGTCCTGGGATGGTGGCAGGGCTCCGGTGCCCTCCCCCACCCTCAAGTTCCCCCATTCCCTGTTCTCCTATAGGCCTAGACCTCCCCCGCCCTCACCCCGTACCACCTGCCTCCTCCCGTGCCAGCCCACCCGGCCTTCGGCCCACCATTTGCCGCCCCTCCCCCATGTGCCGTGTGCGCATCTGGGGGCTGCGGAACCCTAGGAGGGTTACACTAACGTGCCTGGGTGGGGTCAGACTGGGAACAGACGCGGCCTGGAGATGCTCTGCATATGATTGGCTAAGAGTCCCATGGGCGGGGCTCGGAGAAAAAAGGGACGCAGTTACCCCGCCCACTCTTTACAACTCGGTTCTATCCCTGGGGCTCTTCAGCAGGCGAGGGGCCCTGGGACGGGCTCGCTCACTCGCCTGCGTTCCGCGGGGTGGAGGTGCAACAGGGCGCCCTCCGCCTCTCGAGACATCACCCTCTTTTGCTTCCCCAACAGCTTCCGAAGTCTCTGCCCTCCTGTCCCCGCCGGGGTCTGGTCCCCAGCCCGCCCAATAAGGACGGTGCAGTTGGGGCAGACCCCCATATTAAGCAAAGCTACAATAGAGAAAAATTTGGATTTACAAGGAATGTGGGTGACTGTTTGCTGTACATTAGCACTTTTCACTCTACAAAATAATTCACCTACTTTGTGAATTCCTCCAGATCCTAGGGGGAAAGGTGGGGATGGAGGTGTGAGATTCAATGTAAGAAAATTTAAATTTTGATACGGGCAAAAATGTGACCCATCTACTGTATAGAGCAGAATGCTCAGCTCAAAGGGGAAGCCTACTGAAGGAAAATGGTTCCTAAATCTATGCTTTTGTCATGCTCTGTAAATGGGGACCAGGGTCTCCTTTCCTGGGGTGTCAACACCATCTGGGGTAGAACTGAGCTCCGAGACCGCGGTCACAGACTGCGGTCTCCCGGCGCCACCTGGCGGTGTATGCCTGGAATGTCAGGCCCAGGCTCTAGGACCTCGGGATTCGAGGCTGTCACCAGCTGTCTTGTATCAATATCAGGACTCGCGTGGGGATGAGCAGGCTTAATCAGGGATCATCCCGAAATCTGCTGTCTCCAAGGGGAAGCCAGTTCTAGTCTCTGCCGCAGCTGAGGCGGAGAGACCACAGCTTTTTTGTGAGGGGCAACCTCATAACTCACAGAATCCTGGCATTTTCCCTGCTTCCTCTGCCTGAACTGAGAGGGACAGGGGCTGCTCTGAGACCAGGAGCAGTGGGGAAGATGAGAAGACATTCCTGGAGAAGGTCGGGTGATGCAAGATCAGAGACCACGCAGGGAATGAAAAGGGACGGTCTGCAAGCCTGGAGGATGGAGGGGTGGCGGAGTGTGTGGGGAGAGGGAGGCCTGCAGACAGGGAGACATGAGGAAGCTGAGAATCATGGAGACCAGTGCCAACACGGCTGGGATATGAGATCTGGGAAGGATGAGGGTGTTAGGGGAGAGAGCTAGTGGGGGTTTGGGACCCCGAGAAGGAAGGGAGCAGGTGACTCCTTGTGGAATGTGATGCACACAGTAGGTGCCTAAAAGGTGTGGAACAATGTCCAAGAGATGAAATTGCTGGGGAAGGAGCTACTGGGGGAGAACTGGCGGCAGAGAGGGGGCCTGGGGGGCGAGGGGAGACAG